CCATCAGCACACATGGGCCTTAATCACACCTGAGTGCTACTGTTCTATAAATTATCATACTAGTGCTGGAGATCTCTTCCATGTTACCCTCTTGCTACACCTGAATTCCCAGATCTTCACTCCCCCTTCTTACATGGATGTTTCTTTCCACTCTTCAAACAGTAGAGATCTGGGTGCAAGCACCCATGAAGGAAAAACCCTGGTTAACGTCTCAGTAACTGGAAATGTCTCCAAAGTCACTAATGGCCATCACTGCTTCTGCTCTGGATGTGAAAGGTCCCACAGGTGCTGAGCAGGGCACTATTAGGATGTGTCTGCATTGCTTAGCCAGGGGGCATAGTTGGACATCGGTTAGAGATCGATGGTAATGTGCCTCTAGGCTCTCCTCTCTGTGTTATTTTTGGAATTGCACCATTAAATCTATTTGCATCTTTCTGCTGCAACTTATGCTTTGTGCCTGTGACAGATATTTCAGGAGCCCAAGAGAGCAAACCAGGTGGAGCAGGTGCTGTCAGAGTATGCTAAGTGCATAAAGGTAAGCAGGGTTGGCAGGTTGCTGGACGTTCAATACCCCATAATGCAAGAGAGTGTTTCTAAAGCAGGTGATGTGGGTGGTTAATGTGCTCTGGCCAACGCAGACAGGTCTCTGTGCTGCCAATTGCACAGAAGTTTCCACAGCTCCAGTATCTCATGAGTGATTGGGGGTTCTTTCCTGCAGCGCTGCAGCCAGGTGGGAGGCCATGTGACGGGGGCCCTGCTCTTTTCTGTGGTTGGAGGGAAAATGAGTGAAGGAATCAATTTCTCTGATGACCTGGGAAGGTAAGAAATATCTGGTTTGCTGCTCATCTCCTAAGGTGGTATCTGAACACAGCTCTGCTGATGTGGTTGCTGGCTCTCCTAGCCTGTGCTGTGGAGGAATCTGTTCAGGACTTGGGTGGGAGACCTGCAAGTAAACTGCAGGGGTGCAGGAAGTGAGGGTGGTGTGATTGAGTCAGGGTTGAAAGCAGTGTGCCCGGAGTGGTATCAGGATGCACTATGAGCTGTAGGTGCCTTGCAGACACCCAACCACTGTGTGGTCATGAAATAGCCTGGAGTGCTTTTCACTGGACAATGCTGTGTGGGATAAATCCCCACTCTGGCTCCCTGAATTCCCCTGGCAGTTTTTACTTCAGTATTCCCCTGTCATGGACGGCTGGGCACTGTTGTTGCTTCCGCGCCAGAGTTGACTGCATTGCAGTGATAACCCCCTCCAATTTAGTGTCCCTATCAGTTTGTTCGGGATGTGACAGTATGTAATTATGAGAGGGCACTAACAATGTTTGTGTGTGTGTGTCCCCCTCCTTCCATTTCCAGGTGTGTCGTTATGGTGGGCATGCCTTACCCCAACATCAAGTCCCCAGAACTCCAGGAGAAAATGGCCTATCTTGACAAAACAATGGTAGGAGTAAGCACCCCAGTGCCGATTTCAGCTGCTTTACTTATTGTCCTTTTAGGGTCCAATTCCCTCTGCGAAATAAAGACCTGGGTCTTCCTGTGCCTGGGTCAGAGATCTCATTGACTCTGCATGCTTTGAGGCTAGTAAATGGGCTCAACAGGGTTAGAGCCAGGCAGAGATCTGCAGGAATGACCCTGCTGAATGCCAAAGGGAGAAGGGGGACTTGGCCCAAGAGAGGCTGCCAGAGCAATACTACACAGAGAACTGCACTCCAGCGTCACGCTCCTCTTTCTAATGCAGTGAATCCTTCTTGTTGCCTGGCAGAGCCCCTGTTCTATGGAGCTCTGAAACCCTGGGGGTTGGCATTGAAGCTACCTTCCTCCTTCAGATGCCCTGGAGCTGGTTAGTTTGAATGTCCTTTCTGAGGAGCCTGATCAACCTTCAGCTGCACTTCCCAGGTTCTAGTGTGTGACTGAACTCCCATATCCTTATAGTGGGCCTTGAGGTCCCTTCTTTATTATGAGTACCTGGGACTGCCTGGCAGCACCATTCCCTAGGCCAGCTAGGCAACAGCAGGGGCAAAGAATACAGTACCCCTCCAGGGCCTGGTTTCTGTACTAAAGAACTTTAATTCCTACCTTGAACTGCATGCGCCTTTTACTCGGGCTGTCTACACTGGCAACTGAAAGACAAAACTTTTGTCTTTCAGAGGTGTTAAAAAAACACACCTCCCGAGAGACAGAAGTTTTGCCGACAACAAGCACCAGTGTGAACAGCTCTTTGTTAGTAGGAGCGCTCTCCTACTGCCAACGCTAATGCCACTTGGAAGGGGTGGAAAATATTGTCAGCAGGAGAGCCAACGAACAGCAGCTACACTGCGCGCTTTTTAGTGACGTGGCTGTAGCAACACAGCCCTGTCGCTAAAAGCTGCTTCGTGTAGACATAGCCTCAGTCTTATTTCTCTCCTCTAGCCAAGGAGTGCAGGCCAGCCACCTAGCAAAATGCTGATTGAAAATTTATGCATGAAGGCAGTAAACCAGTCAATAGGTAAGACTTCATCTTTCATGGGGCTGGATGGGGAGGAGTATGAAGAGAGCAGTTACGGGAGCTAGGGTCATGGAATAGGCAAAGAAGCAGTTGTGGCAGAGTGGGATGGGTGGGGAGCAGCATAAGGAGAGGATTCTGTTATGAGAGACAAGGTATTGGGAAGAATTGTCATGGCACATGCAACTCAGGTGGTAGAAGATCCACCAGTGACCTGATTGTGCGTTCAAGCTATTGGCAAGCAGCCTGGTGGAGGCCTGTTTCTAGAGTGGATCTGCTGATAATAGTGTGCATGTAAAAATAGGGTCTAGAGGGGATACAAAGTGACAAAACTGAGGTTTCCCTTTATGATGATCTGTGCAGGACGAGCGATTCGCCATCAGAAGGACTTTGCTAGCATCTTACTCGTAGATCACAGATATGCACGCCCCTCAGTCTTCAACAAATTACCCCAGTGGATCAAGGAAAGAACAGAGATCAAACCTGCCTTTGGACCAGCATTTGCAGCATTAAGGAAGGTCAGTACCATTTCATGCACCCTGCAGTAGCCAATGTCCTACTTTCCATTATGTACCCATCACCTCCACCCCATATATGTCCTGGAACTGCCCCCCAGCAATGTCTCTATGGACCTGCATGCCCTCTTCCCCCGGCTCACAGGCCTGACCACTCTGGATACTAGAGCGCTGGGGCTAGGAATGAACAATGTCATGTGATTTCCTCTCTTCCTAGTTTCACCAAGAGAAGAAGTCATGTCATGGGTCAGAAGCTTCCTGAGGGAGAAGGAAGAGCATTGTGCTGATGACAAGTACAGAGCCCTCTGCAATTGCTGTCCCTGCAACAGAAGTTTTTTCCCCAAGACTTTGCAGTTGAAAATTATTGACCAAAGCTATTCGTGCCCATGTGGCTTCTGGGCAGTGACTGATTATATTGCATTTGAGTTGGGCTGGACAGTGGAAAGTACCCTAGCTCAGACTGTGTGAGGGGAGGGGAGATAAGAGCACCCGCAGCTACTGGATCTGACTCCCACTTGGACTAGCTTCTCTTCTGCACCGAGGGTGCTGCGTCTGGGTTTTGTTACTCCTCCCCTTTGTTCGGTTTCCCACCCTGGGGTATTACTACTTGTCCTCTTGGTGCAGCGCTCAGGGCAAAGTATTGAAAATCAGGCTGATGTTCCCTGGCTGCTGATTTCCCTTTCCAGTAGGGGATGGGGGACTAGTACTGCTCTTGTGGAGGCCCCCAGAAGCTCAACAACTGAAAGCTAGAGCCTAGATTTATATCCCTTCTGCCCCTTAGCTAATGGTCCTGTGGCCACATACCTGCTCCACAGATCAGTTAATTCAGTAAGGGCAAATGCCTTGGGCCACCTGAGGCATTTTCAACTCTTAGTTTTGCCATGCCTGAAGTTACATCTCTGACCACTGGCATTGTGTAAATAATCTGTGCTTTCCCAGAGCCCTCACTAGATAATGGCTGGGGGCAGTATTGCTAGCTGGTTTGCTTGCCCCCTGAAAGAATATTTAGGGAGCTTACAGGAAACAGAGTCTTTTTTTCTGCCAAGTGCTGTAAGCATGAATCTGCAGCACTCCACATGGGGCTTCAGTTGCTGGGGGCTTCATCCATGCCACCTGGGTGGCTTGCATTTGTATTTACCTATCCAAGGCCTTTATTTCCTCATTGATGTTGTGTAAGCTGATGCTAGAGCTGTTCACCGCCTTTCTGCTACTGTGGACCAGGAATGTCACACGGCCCAAGGCTTGTGTCACTATTCCAGCAGCGGGAAGGGACATAAGCCTATCACTCTGCTGGCCTAGCCATAAAGCAAGGCAGCATTTATTTCATTTCCTGTTGACTACATACCTGTCTGCATGTGTCACCTTCAGGTATTCAGCTTTATTGCTGCCTTTTCCTGGGGCTCATATTGAGCACTCCCTCAGTATAGTTCACTGTAAATCCCTTTTGATGTAAAGGGGGTGGAGGTGTGCCACATTGATTCCTGGCTTTTTGATATTTCAGCTTTGCTGTGTAGTGGACTAGAGCAGTTCCTGGCAGAAGCCATCAGTGATTACTTTCTGCCACCTTGTAACTCAGGAAAGCCCTTGGACAGGGGGCTAATGGCTGTTCCCATGTGCATCTATACATACCTAGATTAAAATCTCTATTCTGCTGCAGCTGAATTGTATCAGTCCCTGAAGAGTCTGGCACATCTAAACTGTGCACATAGGAGTTCAAAGACATCTACTTTCCCCCTACAGTGAAGAAACATCTCCTTAAGCAAACTAGGAATTGACTGTACTGTAGTTGCACAGTTCTGCCCATCACCTCTTTGACAGAGTAGAAGTTGTAGGTAGAGGCTTTCAAAGTCTGTAGTGCACCTACATATACAGCAGTTTTAGGGCTTCTGCCTTATGTTTTTCACACAGACCATACCCCAACATGCCTGCTGTTCCCAGAGACGCTAATGGTGGACAGCTGGGCCTCTCCTCCTAGAGTCAAGAACACTCCACAGTGTAGACTGGAGTGGGCTAGAGAAAGCTGCTGGGTACTTGTTCCTTTATTGACTTACACTGTAGAAGCCATTCATACCCAACAGCAGAGTTTCCATGGCTTTCCTACAGCTGATTTCACATGAGGGAGGCTGCCAGGCAGCACTGGAACCACCAGCAGACCTGCTGTGCACCTTCAATCCTATCACAGGAGCATCCAGCCAAGGCCTGACATACAGCTGGCTAAGGAGGAGAAGGCTCTTAGAGCTGCCCTTGCAGTTGTGCTTGATCAGATCTTCTGTGAGCTGCCCTCCAGCTACAGCAGGATTTATTGAGTGAGTGTGAGCAGCAGTATTTGAAATTAAATGCACTATTTAGGGGGGAGGGGGAAGTAAACAGAGCAGAAGTAAGAGTCATAACTGTACTCAACAGTGGTTAGAGATGAGTGGGAACAGCAGGAGCTAAGAGAAAGTGACAGGGTCCATCTGTGCCCTCTCACTAACAGTTATTTCCAAGAGCTGGTCCATTGCTGAGGTGCTTAGCTCAGCAGGGCTGGGTTCCCAGTTGGCCAAGAGGAAACCGATCCCAGGCCTGCGGCCCGATAGCATTTATGATTCCCAGTCATCTTCCTCCTCGTCCCCCAGGGGTTGTTGTGGGGGTGGCAGGGGTGGGATTGTGTCCGACATGCGGGCAAAGGCACCACCAGGTGCACTGGGAGCATCAGCACTTCCTGCAGTTGCAGGCCCCTTGCCTGAAATGCCTGGGGAAGAAAAGCAGGTGAGTGAGGCCTAGGAGGGAGAACTGAGGGAGGCAGGAGCTAGCCCTGCACCTGTGCAAAATGCTGCCTCAGGCACACACAAACTCAACTCCCATTAACACCGCAGTGCTGCTAGGAAAGAGTTCATTAGCTAAAGCGCCAGGTCAGCATTTCCAGCTGGCAGAACAAGGGAGGGCAGGGACCAGAACCCGCTCTGACTCTGTGAGCAGGGGAGGAGGCAGCCCCTGGCTGAAGCGTGGCAGGGACAGAGGTGCCTGCCTGGTACCTACGGAGGGCCTTGTCATTAAGCTATGGCTGAGGGACTTTGACAGCAGGGGGGAGGCCCCAGCCCTTAAGAGAATGGGTAAATTCAAAATGCTTTCCCCTCTGAGGCTCTCCAGGTATGCTGAGCCTCTGCCCAGAGTGTGCAGAGCAGGGACAGGGGAGCTTTTCCTTGGAGTATTAAAAACATACAACAGCCAGTGCCCAGGTTTCTGCCTTGGGGATGCCAGGTAAAGTTTAGGCACTGAAACCAGCTAAGACCCCCCCAGCAGCACCTCCCGTCTGGATTCACTGCAGTGACACTCCGCCAGCGGCAGCATTGGTATACAGGTAAGTTCTTCCTGCTCTGCAAGGGGATCGCCCAGTCTGGCCCATAAGGGCATCGGGTGTGTCCTCAGCAGCATCAAAGCATTCAGCCAAATGGCATGCCAAGCTGGCCAAAAGCTTCCTCCCTTCTAACTCCTGCAAGCTCTAGCAGTGAGGCAAGGAAACCTGCCCCTCTTCATGTCACATTACAGGAAAGGAGCAGCCCCCCCCCCCCCCATGGCATGGTACCTTTACGCCTCAGGAGCAACTTGTTGAAGAGGTCGGACATCAAGTCTCCACCCTGTGCTGTGGTTATCACTGAAAGAGTAAAGCCCCACAAATCAGGTGACAGACCAAATGCCCTGCTCACACGGTCCAGACTAGTACGAATGGCTAGTTATTAACGGGGGACCAGCTTCGACACGTGGTCAGGACACAACGGGAGGACGGGGGATTGGTCCCACCCTATTCAACGTGACACACTGACCCTGCGCAGAGCACATGGTGCTGTATTGGCAGAGCTGCCTTGGAGTTCAGGATTGAATAGCAGGGATACGCTGAAGGCTAGGACTGAGCTGCCTTGGCAGAGATTGTGTAGGGACCTTCACTTGGGGATTAAATAAATAATTGACCCGTCCCATCCTTGCACCACATTTACCCTTCCCCAGCACAGCACACAAGGCCTGCCTGGGAAACATGTCAGCTTCCTACAGCAGCTTGGAGGAAGGAAAAGGTTGGGTGTTTCAGCCAGTTTAAATGAACTGGAGTTAACCAGTCTACTAAAAACAGTCCAGTCGTGACGCAGGACTTGCAAAGGCACAATTTCCTCTCCAGAGGCAGCCTGCCCTGAGCTATCTTTGAAATGCTTCCAGCACTACAAGTTCACATGAAACATTTTCATCTCCACCCTCGAGAGGGGAGAATTCCCAAGGCAGAGCACTAATGCATTTCTGGCACGTAGGAGCTATCGAGTTCATTCAAAACTGCAACGTGAGGTGAGATGAAATCCCTCTGCTCTAAGGCTTCTGTGCAGTGTTGGGGGCTTGCCATGTTTGGCACTTGGCTTTGCCCCTCAGATATTTATGAGACTCCTTCCTGGGGGTACCTAAGCATATCTAGCTGGGGCAGGGGATTGAGGATGACTACAGATGAGAGTGCTCTGGGCACCTTGTTCTTGCTCCTTCTGCTTCTTCTTCTCCAGCTTTCTCTCCTTAACGCTTCGGAGGTTGGCCTTCCCAATGCCGCCAGCCTGGCGGATGGACTCCAGGAGAGTTGCCCGGCCAGTTGAAGGGTTCACAACTTCCTTTGGAGCCCCTTGGACTGGAGCTGCAGGGATACAGAAAGGAGTCAGCCCTGAGGAACGGACACCATCTGATGTGTCAGCAATTAAAAATTAACAGCGGGCTCTCTACACGCTGCTGCTTTAGCTAAACCTAAACCACCTGCCTGGGTGTGAAACCTGAGACACCGAAGAGCTCTGGCACCTCATCACTTGCCTTTTCCAAGTCGCCGGGAGATGACGCAGCGCATAGAATGAAGGGGAGCCTTTAAAATAAATCAGTGAATACTGTGGGCTGTGCAGTGTGCTGCCAGATGAAGGGCTTTGAGCTAGAATCCCTCCCTGCACCCTCATATTCTGTCCCTTGATCCTAAACTGGCCATCTCACACCATTCTCCAAGGAGCCCTCTGCCCTACAGAGGAACAGCACCCACTGGCTCTACAGGGAGACATGCCCTGCCCTGCCAGCAACACAGGGATAGCCAAGAATGGATCAGAGCAATCCATCTAATCTGGGGCCCCCATCTCCAGCAGTAGACAGTACAAAATGCTCCAGAGGAAGGAGTAATGTAACCACAAATTAATGCAACCATTTCCTAGTCTGAAAGCAGAAACACTGCTACTTCCCTGGGTTTGGGGGCAGCTTTTCTGCATTGCTCCTGTTTTAAAAAATTCACTTCCTTGTGGGACCAAGAGAAAATAGCCCGGATCCTGTCAAAGGGACACTGTAAGGCGCAGTGTTCTTGTGACAAAGGTTTGTATCAAACTAAAGCCAATAGAAAGGTCCATGAAGATTTTTAAGCTATTCAATTCTATTAAATTAAGTGAGGATGAGTAGAAATTATTTGTACCCAGAGCATAGCTGCATCTTCCTAGTGCATAAGAACTTTCATGGGAGATTCCCTAGTAAACCAATACTATCCAGAACAGTAAAACTGATTAATCTTGTTTCCATTGCCCCTGGGGAGAGACATGCAGAAAGGGGAGAGACTATCAAAGGAAAGGAGAATGGCCATTATTTCCATTCTAACTAAGCTGAAGTTGTTAGTAACACAGAGTAGAAGGTGCATATCTTCATAGTGTCCTATTAAGTGATAGGGCTTTTAACAGCTATAGTGCTGCACACACAAACAGTTTGTTATAGCTTATACTCCACACTGGTATATTAAACCAGGGGGCCTAGAGAGGGCTGCACTGGTACCTTGCAAGAAACCAGAGGACCACACTCAGTTTAAACTGGAGCACATGTCCACACTCATTCAGTACAGAAGTGTGGACAGCAGAGACTACAGCTCCCAGCATGCAGTGCACAATATTAATGATCATGTGAGCATCCATTATTGCAGGGGTTCTCAACCTTTTTCTTTCTGAGCCTCCTCACCACGTGCTATAAAAATTCCATGGCCCATCTGTGCCACAAAAACTGTTTTTCTGCATATAAAAGCCAGGGCGAGCATTAGGGGGTAGCGAGCAGGGCAATTGCCTGGGGCCCCACTCCACAGGGGATCCTGTGAAGCTAATGTAAGCGGGGGAATAGTCCCGCTATTGTGGGGAACTTTCCTGGCTTCTGCACTACCCCGGTGAAGTGGGCTAGCGAAAGGATCTGAGTCCTCGCTCCCACTTCCTTTACCCAGTGGCCTCCCTGCCCTTGAGGACTCCCCTTCCACTCTCCTGTCTGGCAGAGTCCTTGTAACCCCAACAAGGCTGGGCCCGGGATTCCTGGGGGGGCTCGACCCCCAACCCTGCTGTGGTCACCTAGGACAGGAGCTAGGGTGTCCCCACTCCGGGGTACTCTCTCTGCACTGGGCACTTCTCTGACCCACGGACCATTACGTACAAGTTAAAGCAAATGCAAGTTATTTAATCAACAATTAATTTTAAAAAGAATAAGGGAAAAAGAGAAAGGTTAAAGGAAACACATCAACCCGCTTTGTGGCAGGGAACATCACAAACAGTGTCTCTGGAATGTCAGGGCAGTTCACAGTCTGTTCCTTGTAAGTCCCCAGCCTCCTTCTCAGGCCCTGGCTGTGCTGCAGGGATACTGTGGGTTGGACACTCGCTCTGGTGGTGCCCACACGCTCTCAGGCTCTAGGTGGCAGGGCCCTTCTTCCCAGCGTCGCCCCCGCCCTGTCAGGGTTACCAATCCTCCTCCGAGTCTGGCCTGCAGAGCCTCCTGGCAGTCCACTGCTCAAGGTCCCCCCTCACTCTCCCCAGCTGCTCACAACACCCGGCTCCAGACTGATCCAACTCCAGCTCCACTCTGCCTCAGCACAGCTGCTGCTGCTCTGCCTCCAGCTCCCTGGGCTGCTTCTCTGGCCCTCTGGCTCTGGTTGCTGCAGCTCTGCTCCCAGGACAGGTCTGCTCTGCAGGCTGCTTCTGTGACTCTGCTCCCAGCACTGCCCTGCCTCCTGGGCTGCTTTTCTGGCCCCTCTGGCTCTGGCTGCTGCAGCTCTCCTCCCAGGGCAAGTCTGCTCTCTCTGGGCTGTGCCTCTGGCTTTGGGGCTGCAGCTCTGCTCCCAGGACAGGGTCTGCTCTCTCTGGGCTGCTTTTCTGGTCCCTCTGGATCTGGCCCAGCTCTGCTCCCCAGCTCAGCTCGGGCCTCTGCTTTCTCCTTAGCTCGGCCCCACTCTGTCTGACCCAGGCAATTCCAGCTCACATGGAGGACGGGACCTCCCTGGCCTCGTGACTCCCTGATAGCCTGCTCGCCCTGTCATTCAGGCTGACCTGGAGCATTGGTCTCTCCCCATTGCTCCTAGGGACTGGCAGTCTCAGGGTCCTGATTCCCCATCTACCCTTCCCCTTTTAGTACTGGGAGCTAGCAACTAAAACACCCCCACGGAATGTTAGTAAGGGGGCAACAGTCTCCTTACACTAAGTTGATCAGGCTTCGGCTTTCTGCCTTGGGCCCCAGCGAGTCTAGTGCTGGCCCTGCTTGACGGACCCCCTGAAACCTGCGCACTGCACCCCAGCGGACCCCAGACCTCTGGTTGGGAACCCCTGCACTACTGCACGCTTGGATCTAGTCTCTGCAGCCTACGCTTGGGTACCAAGGTCTGCTCAGCCTGCTCTCCTGGGGCTGTTTGTTCAAGTCAATGGGCTGCACCTACAGTCCCCTGTTTGCAGACTGAAGAGTTGAAGGATTCGGCATGAGGGGAGGAAGCAGCCAGCCTTCCACTGAATTGTCGTCGTTGCTTGTAAGGGGAGAAGAGCCATTGGAAAAGCCTTGGGGTTACCACGGGAAAAGCTGGCCCAGGGAAAAGGGCGGGGCCAAGTTGCTAGGTTAGATCCTGCCAAATAACAAGCCCTAGCAGAAGCTCAGTCCTTACCTGCAGACATTGCACTGCTGCTCTCCTCGCTGGCTGGCTGCTTGGAAAGGGAGGCAGGCTGGGGCAGAGGAGGGGGTGGGGGAGCACTAGTTGGCATCACAGGGGGGGGAGGAGGGGGAGGTGGGGGTGGGGGCACTAGCACACAATCCTGAAGACCTGAAATATTAAAGGGAGGAGTGCAAAGTCACCGAGGGACACTACCTGCTACGACACTATCCCCCCAGCACCCTCACCCACAATAGTACCACCACCAACAATCCTCAGCACTTTGTGCGGACGAAAGGGGCAGCATTAGCCCCACCCCATGGCATCAGGGGGCTCTTCCCCCATTTGCCTTGTGTAGTCAAGGTGGCACAGACTAGCAGTTTCTCATCACAACAACAAGGCTGACTGGCTGCCAGCAAAATCCAAGTGCTTGCAAGCTCCCCTCCTTCCCAGCCGGGCAGGAGGGAGGGACTGACAGTTTGTGCCACAGGCTGGGCAGCAGAAGGCCAGAGGCACACTCCTTGTCTGTGAGGGGAAAGGCGCTGGGTTTGGCCCACGCACGTGAAGTTGGCCAGGAAAGTCAGGGACTCCTCCAGCTTTAATCCTGATGGGGCCTCTAAGAAGGGACTTTTCTAGGTCCTCACCAGGGTCCACGCAGAAGTCAGTGCTGGGGAGAAGTCACAGTCCATGCCTCTGGGGCGTGCCACGGGGCAAGTCTGCATCTGCAAATACTTACTTGCTTACAGCTCCTTTCCCTGTGTATCCATCTCCACCTTGTCCCCCCACCCACCTAGATGAGCCCCAGACAAAGGGAGTTGAAGTACCTGGCCTGAAGTTCTCCACGGACTCAGTGTTGAAGGTGGGTAGCTCTGGGATAGCGCTGCTGGGTGCCGAGGGTGCAATGCCAGGTCCCAGGTCTGCGCTGTACATGAGATCAGCAGCGATGCCCGGCAGGTCTGGCAGGTAGGACGGCACATCTATCTCAGGCACCTGGCCCAGATCTGGTACGTAGAAGTAATTTTCAGCTACCTGGAAGACAGAAAGACGAAGGGTAACAGCTGGGCATCTGGAGACTGCTTTCCCTTAGAGAAGCCAGTAACAGAGGGAAGAGATGTGGCCTGCAGACAGTGGCATGTGGGCTGCAGTCAGCTCTCCTGGTGGCTCTCGCTAAGGGGACATCACCAGGTTTCAGAGCCCTTAACAGCTACACGGCTATTTTTGGCTCTGCAGCCCTAACCCCACAAGCCCAAGTCAGCAACTTGGGCTCTGAGACTCAGTGCCACGGGTTTTTCTTTAGAGTGCAGATGTGCTCTTCATGGCAGATCCTCAGCACACTACATAGGTATTTAATCAGCTCAGTCTGCACTCTGGGATAACAGCATCCCTGGTGTTACTACACTGTCGAATGTGTGCGCTAAAAGCAACCTGCAGAGGGGCAAAAAATGGGTTTGTGCCTTTTCTTGCTCCATTCTGGAGGGTGAGGGTGTGTGTGTGTGGGTCTACAAAGGGCTATTTACATCAGAAATTATGGTCCTGTTCAAGCTAGAAGATGACTGACAACTGGCGAGCTGATGAAACAATGGCATTGCAAGGTCTAACAGTGAAGCTGAGTTGTTCAACAGGGAAAGGGTTTTCTTTAGCCGTGTTGTTTGTTTATTTTGCTTCCACTCACACTCCAGTGACAAACATGCATTTTCAAGAAGGGAAGTTTGAGTTGAAGATTTAACACCACCACCTCTTCAATTATGGCTTCAAGAGCTCACAATAAACCTCCCAGAAACCCTCCAAAGCAGCCAGGGAAGACTGGACTTTACATTTCTTTTTCTTCAATGGGAAAAACCCAAGCAGGAAAGAGTTAACACGCTTCCTGACCTCCTCCAGGCCTCAAAAAGGGCACAACACAATTCTTACTATTTCCTTGGCAGGTTCCCTTTACTTAAGATGCCAGAAGAGAGAGATTCAAACACCATCATTCACAGTGACAGAAGAGCCCCCTTCCTTGCCTCTTTCCCCTCCCATTGACTGACACCAGGGACAAGAGCAGCTTAGCACCACCATTACGGGGCACTGTCAGCTGGCATGGGCTGCTCTCCGCTGGCCTTTTCTCCACACTTGGGCTGAGTGCAGCCCTGCTCAGGGGATTGCGCCACACGAGAGGGGATAAAGAACTCAGCTAGATTAGTTTGAGGGCATTATCTGAAATCCCTGACAACACACCAGTCTGTGATCACCCGCCTCCAGCTAACAAGCTGCTCCTTCCATCAGCCCTGTCTCCTGCTGTGCCACGGGCACTTCATATTAAAGAGATAACAGTCCTGTCAGGCTTTCCCAATGGGCTGAAATGCAGGATATTTGAATGGCCAATCATTTTTTAAGAGCCTAGTGCTCTTTTGGTAGTTCCCAAGCATCGTGCTGGAGCCACTTTCCACTTGAGGGTGTGGGAAACTGCTCTTCCTAACACCTTCCCCTTGGGAGCAGAAAGAGGGACTCAGAATAGCTGCTGCTTTTCTTCAGCCCAAATAACCTCCGTTTCTCCACATGCCTGCCAAAAACCCCTTCTGCAGCTCAGGCTCTGAGCAGGCCAGTGCAGGAGGAAGAGATGTGATATCGCAGGGAGTCAGCCCTGCACCAGAGGAGGCCACATCAGCGCTATCAGTACCCAACCCGCCAAGTCTACACAGCCTGGAGAAACACAACCTTCGGGTGTAGAAGTCTCATTGCATCCACCAAGCCCAGCAAGGACTATACACACAAACCCTAATGAGGTTACTAAGGCAGGTGAAATGCCCCACTGCCCATCACCCAAGATCTCCCCTCTGGACCATTCCCCTGCCAACTCCTGCACCTGCAAAAACCAGCTCTCCTCTAGTAGATGAGCACACTGCTGTCTGCAGCATGGTGTCCCTTTGCTCAGCAAGTACAGCCCTGCCTGCTGCTGCATCTCACCTGCCGATCCAGCTGTCCCCTTTTGGTGATAGAGAGGGGTGCATCAAAGAGCTTCTCCTCAGTCTCTGTTCCCAGAGTCACATGGGTCTTGGTCACCGCTCCTGCCAGAGGATCCAGGAAGACATACTTCTTGTACCTGGAGATGAAGAAAACGTCAGTGATTCTAGCTCGGGGAAGAGCCAAGGAACAGTTCTTCAGCCAGAGGATGGGACCAGGCATTAAGGGGTGATGAAACAGCTTCCTGATGTCCCAAGTCTAATATCAGTCCCAGTCAATACTACCTCCACTCAGCTACATTGCTCCTGTGTTCTATCCCACCTCTCCTGCAGGTTTGCCCCTCTCCCTTCTTCACCGCCACAGCCAGGAGCTGGGATTTCCCCATCCTGATCTCACACTCTGCAGGCTAGTGCAGGGTGAACCTGAACACCTGTCACTATCATCTGGATTCCACCAAGCTTCTCTCCCCTTGCCCACCACACACCATGTTATGGGGACAGCAGTTACACCACTATCTAGAGCAGGGCATGCCTAGCATGCCAATCTCTGCTGGACACATTGTTTGAGAGGGAGGAAGAAAGTCAGGAAGGAGAACATCAAGAGCCCCAGGAGCAGAGGGGGAAATACTGTCCAAAGCAGAAAAAAGATTGAGGATAAGCACCATGGGGGCGTCCTTAGATTTGGCCAGGAGAAGACATCCTTGGCAAGCACAGTTCCACTCAAGGAGAACAGGAGAAACAAGGACTAAATCAATCAGGGGGGAAGTTGAAGTAGTTGGGAGTGAAGTGACCACTCAAGTTCAGGCAAAGAGGTGGAGGGAGATGTGGCAGTAGCTATATAAGCAAACGAGACAGAGGGAAGGACAGAGAACAAGAGAGAAAATATTCAGGTGCCAGGCAAGTAATGATGGGGGAGAGGAGAGGTGTCCAGGGGCACATGCTGGGTCAGATGTTGATAGTAACAAACAGCTCTGACTCAGAGTGGGGTGAAGAAGAAAGGATGTTGGATGGAGACTGCTATTCAGGGGAATCAACCCACCAGCCCGCTAGCGCGAGAGTGTCTCCCCAGATAAGGTGGCAGGCCGGGGTGGGGAGGCAGCAGATCAGAGACCAGGTGGTGGCAGCAGAGCTGCTTTGTGCTGCTCCAACACTCACAGGTTCTCGGTGGTGTTGAACAGCAGCAGGGAGCTAAGGGAGCTGATGTTCCTGGGGAGGCTGCCAAGACCTTCTTCCGCATCATCCTCCTGGTGAACTTTTGTACTCACACACACTGGGAAGTACTTGAGCTTCTCCTGCAATGAAATAAACAGATGGCAACACACTGGGAATGCGTGGCACCTCTGGTGGCCCTCTCCATTATCCACATGCTACCACAGCTGCTCCACATAGCCACCCTTCTATGTTACCCTTGTTCACACCAGGCAGGACACCAGCTCCGTGTCCAGCAATAGACATGGTCATGTTTCAGAAGAGAAGCCACAACAGTGCGTTTAAGATGTTGTACACAAATCACCTGGACCTGAATTTCTGTGGCAAGCACCTCTTATGGACTGAGACCCACAGCCTTTCCCTTAACCTACCCTATGCTGTGCAATGCCTCCTGCTGAGAGGGGCTGGGATTGGAGTGATTGTGCATGTCCACACAGCCAGTGCTCCTACATCAGTATTTACAGCGCCTCCCTCTGGGACTGACCTGTCAATTCTGCCACCTTCTGCTCTCCTGCTATTGAGATGCCCCCGCCCTGGGTGGGGGGAGAGAAAGGCAAGCATGCCAGCACCAACTAAGTGGGCAGGTGGGGGAGGGTAAGCGGAGGGAAGAGTGGAGAGCCAGATGGTTTTACAAAGCCCAGGAGATTTGCAGGACTTTTCAACTCTAGTGAACCAAAATCTCCTCTTTCTCAGCTCTACAGCTTCATACATAATGTATAGCACTCCCTTTAGAAAGGGAGTTATTTCATCTGAACTGCTTAACTTTTAAAGAACATGGGAATTGCCATCTCAGATCAGACCTGTGCCTGATGCTATGGGGAAGAGGTACAACCTCCATAATGTAGTTAGGTGTACTGTACTATACATAGACTCTGGATTTAAGATCGGACGGGACTACAAGATCATCTGACCTCCTGTATATCACATACCATACCACAGGGGAGGGGAAGGCTATTGCTTCCTGGGCCCAGTTGCTGACCAGCTTAAGAGGCCACAGGTCTACTGGACTGAGCACAGGACTTGGAACAAGGAACTTGTGTTCCACATCTGCCTCTGCCTTGGCCAGTTCACTGAACCCATCAGTTTCTCCTAGCTGTAAAATGGGCAAAGCCCTTGTCTCACAGGGATGAAGTGATGAACCCTCAAACCAGAAGTGATTTGTATAATCAAGTCAATTAGCCAGATTCATATTTTCACTGTTCACGTATTTAAAGTGACCACAACCATGCAGCATTGGCCATTAGCATCAAATAAAAAAACTGATGTAAATAGTTCTTTAGTGACTGTACAAGTGGAGATTCAACAGAGATTCAGAAATAAAGTTCCATTTGGTCATTAATATTCATTTCCCAATGCTTCATTTTTAAGCATCATGGAATCCTGACGTCTTCACTGGAACTGCTCACGCACTAAGCCCTCAAGCAATGTATTTTTTAAAACTTTCTCTTTGTAAATTTCAATTAGCACTGGAAGGGTGGGTGTCGCTTTTTGGGTGGAGTGAGAAATCAACCATTCCTCACATTTACTTATTAAAAAGTCTAATCCTTCTAAGGCATTTATAAAAAGTACAAAGCATGTCTATTACCCTGAAGTATGTGGCTTTATATAGTCCTTGTAATTTTTGTGCTACTTAAAGTAACTGCAAGTGACACTTTTATACAAAGATCTAATCCTGTTCTGAAATTTATAATATCTTTCATAGAATATCAGGGTTGGAAGGGACCTCAGGAGGTCATCTAGTCCAACCCCTGCTCAAAGCAGGACCAATCCCCAATTTTTGCCCCAGATCCCTAAATGGCCCCCTCAAGGATTGAACTCACAACCCTGGGTTTAGCAGGCCAATGCTCAAACCACTGAGCTATCCCTCCCCCCCATCTACCTCAGTAACAACCTGCAACTGTGATTTCCACAGGTGAAACCACATCTTTTTTTCTTTCTTGTAGCTGTTTTAAAGGGACTGATCCTGCAATACGCTCAGCGTACTCAACTCACTGAAATCAGTTGGACTCTAGGGCACTCAACACCTAGCAGAACAGGCAGCTCAGGCCCTGGCAGGATCAGGGCCCTAAATTTGCTGTCTTTCAGTGTACTCTTTCTAAATAGCCAAAAGTTCAAATATATTAACCCATGACAGGACTTCATCTCTCACCCTCCAGTTCCCAAGTTTCATTAATGCGGTCTCCTGTGAGGGGCTGTAGGGAGTCTAAATAAGTTACATACAAAAACACACATTAAAAGGTTATTATTTTGGTTACAAATTCAAGCACTTGAAATTCAGGAAATGCCATACTCATGGTGGTCTGTGCAACCTCAATTGGCCTCCCCGCGTGCCCATGGGGTGCACTGAATGGGGCAGGGTCCTACTGAAAAGCAGAATGTGCTCATGTAATTAAAGACTAAAGCATGCATATGCACTAGAGGGCCGAATTAAGCTGGTGCAGGCAACGGTAGTTCTGGCATTTCCGCTGCCCACTTGTTAAATCTTCACACAAGCACCTTCATGTTTTCTCCCATGCTGCCCCACATGCTTTATAGGTGGCCCCCATAAACATCTGCAAAGCTACTTCATTGTCCACCTTCACATCCCGCCTCAGAACTCTCCTTTTCACACCACCAATGTAACCATCACATTTTTGGTAGGCATCACAGCAAAAACCACTGGACGTCGTGCTGAGCAGTACTCCCTCATCGGTCAGCATCCATCTTTTGTCTCTTGTCCTATACTTCTACTGTCAGCTCCCTGGGGACCAGCCTTTCTTTGTGTTCAGTGTCTGTGCAGCACCTAGCACAATGGGGTCCTGGTCCATGACTGGGGCTCCTAGGAGTCACAGTAACACAAATAATAGATAAGTTTGGTGATGGTGATGGCAGCAAAAGCCACCTGGGGCTTTCCTGAAGTACAGCAGATATGAAGCCCTCCGGTTCCTCAGCCCAGTCAGTGAAGGCCCCGCCAGCTACTCTCAGCATGTAACGCACAGCAGTGGGCCTCGTCAGATGTGACAGTGGGCAAGGAGGCCGCCGCTGAAAGCCTGGAATAACTGAGGGTATAAATACCAATTTGAGACTTTCCTCCGTCATGTCTCATTATTCCGAGAGCCTCAGTCTCTCTCCCCGGCTGCAAACAGCCACATACAAGCCGGCCTCAGGAACGAGCTCAGCACTCTTACTATACTGAGCCTTACACAACATGCCAGTTGCCACTTCGCCCAGATCCCTCCTGGCATTAATAAACCAACAGCCACCTGGCAAGACAGCACTGGGCCTCTCTGCCCACCCCGCATCCAGCCCTCCAGGGAGCTTCACCAGGAGGCAGCTAGACGAGGCCAGGGATGGGACTAGCTGGCAAAGTCAGGCCCTGAGGTGGGTGAGTGGGAGGAAGCCAGGGTCCGGAGTCACAACGGGGGGTGCATGGGCTGGGAGCTGGAGGTAGCCCAGTGCAGGGGAAGAGGGCTCGGGAGGCACTACCGGAGCGTAACACGTGCATGCACCCATACCGTGGGGGTTGGTCCTGGAAAGTAAAGGAAGAAATGAGAAAGGGGCAGTGTAGGAAAGCGGGTGCAGAGGCAGCACAGAGGAAGGAAACGGAGAGCACTGCAGACGGCTGTGAGGTGGCAGTGGAAAGACAGGGCAGCTGACATAGATGTACAGCATACATGGTAGTAAGTGATTGGGATTAGGTGGCTAGGATGTCATTCCCAGGCCAGAGAGACACTGCCCCTCCCTGACAAAGCACAGACGGTACATGGGGACACAGACCGGCAGCTGCCTTTTTGGCTCTGGAAGTGAGGGAGGGAGAAAGTCTTGCATGTCCCGTGCTGGGCTACAGCTCCTCAGCAGGCTCTGACCTCTCGTCAGCAGGATTCAAAGCAGTCTCTGCCCAGTGGCCCTCAGCAGGTTCCATACAACTGCTACTCTGAAGCCACAAAGGGAAGCACAAGCCCCGCTTGGGTGACCTATCAGCTGCCTGCCCAGCCAGCAGCTCCACTTCGCTGGGAAGTTCTGAGGACTGGCTGAAATATTCCTGCTGCTTTGCTGGAAGAGGCTTCAGCTCCTTTTAAGCTCAGGAAAGTTTATAGCACTGAATTATTCAGGGACAACTTTATTTTTGGCCTGAGACACACGAGGAAGAGAAGGAAAAGGAAAGTACTTCCACGGGGAGGAGAAGAGACAGGCAGGCCATTCGTCTGGTGTCCTGCTTTTCTGAAGTTTGTTCCCGTGAGACAAAAGCAGCTTTGTCCGGCATGGGACAGGACACCACGACGAAGAGAGTGCCACTGCACCCCACCAGCATGACTTCGTGTGCATGGGAGACGCGCTCTTCAAAATGGCGCCTCCCGTGCGGCGAGGTCACACCGAGAGGGGTGGGGTCACGCTGGCAGGGGTTCCTGAAAGTACTGGCATGTCCAGTATTCTGGGAATGTGTGAGCGGCCACCCTAGGAAGGGAGCTGCTGGGCTAATCCCTACCCTGCAGGGATCAGCACCAGATAAAAGTCCCAGCGTCGTGCATTGGCCGTCTCCTCGGAGAGCAGCACAGAATTATTCTTCCTCTCCTTGGGGTGTTCTAGCACTGACAGCTTCAGAACTGCCAAGCGGCACCTCCATCTAAGCCACCTTCTCGGCTACTGACAGGGCCCCGCTCACAGGCTGCCCTCCCCTCACCGCCGCAGAATCATTAGAGCTGAGGGGAATGCCAAGGGGATCTTGGGTCATTCGCCAATAGCTACACGTCTAAGCTCAGCCTTTAATAGCACCACTGGTTGCAGACAGTGCCTGCTCCCATAATACACGTAGTGATGACAGAGGCCTCAGCTGACAGAGAGGCTCCCATTGTGCTAGGTGCTGTACTAACAGCAAGAGAGAGTCCCTGCCAAGAGGAGTTTACAGTCTAAATAGACAAGCATGAGAGGGGAAGGTACAGGGAGGGGAAGTGACTTACCCAATGTCACCCAGCAGGTCAGTGGCAGAATTGGGAATAAAACCCAAGTCTCCTGACTCCCAGCCCAGTGCCCTAATCACTAGACCATGCTGCCTCCTTAGAAGAGGAGACCTCTTCCCCTCTTTCTCCTCCACACAGACTCGCATATATGGCACTTCCCTCTTCTCCTTCACATAATTACCATGTAATAAAGAACTATGATCTGACAAACTGCTCCTGAAAGATCTCCCGATCCTCCCAGACCATCAGCCCATGCAGGTCCCAGCCACCCTCCTTCCGTGTCACACAACAAAACAACACCACTGCAGGAAACAAGCAGGTTGCTCAAACCAAATACGAAAATGGAAACACAGGTGGCAAGGTGAGTAGCTATGGCCTGCGCTAAGAGCTCCAGAGACTGGCGAGGGCACCCAACAGCCTCCCACGCAGAGCACACCCAGCCAGTAACCACCACTGAGGGGCCAGGAGGAAAATCTTCCACTGGCACAATCCTCGCACGTTCCACAAGCTTTGGAACACATGCTCCCACATGTCCTATCAAGTCAGGTGGAAAACAGACCAGACCCGTTGCCTATGCCCATCCCCAAAAGGCCTGGTCCCTTTTTCCCATATGCCTTCAGCCCCTAGTAACACAGTCCCCTCCTGCCCTCATCCCCCTCCAACTGCATACCCACTCACCCAGGGGGCCTCCACCCTCAACTCCCTTACCTGCATGGATTTCTCATCCAGCGGTCTGTGTTTGCTCTGAATCTTGTGCCTCGGCCGTTTCTGTGTGGCTGGATCCTCTGCACCAGCGAAAATGGAGCTGTACTCCTGCAGCCGCTCCGGGGCAGGGTATTTGGCACTGGAAAACACCTGCCGGGAGAGGAAGAAACTATCAGCAGAGCAATCCTGCACCCCGGAAACAATCAACACTATGGGGCCGGGAGACGGGCAACGGGACAGGGATTTTTCACACAGTCCTGTTTGGATCCCAAGATTAGCAGGGGTTGAATGGGAGATGCTACCACAACAGCTCCCAACTGGATGAACAAGGTGCAAGGAGTTAAAGGTGGTGAAGACACAACTCTTACTAACATGAGTGCGTCCTGGGTTCCTCAGCAAAATGGGATCTTGAGAGAGCCAAGGGAGTGGAGGCAAAGGGAGTGACCATTTCTTGAGAGACTCCTTCCTAATTCAAGGCCAGAAATATGTGGCTCTGAGAGAAGAGAACCACCACATAAAGGGGGGGTCATGTCAGGAGGGGAGTTTCACACTGTAGCTCTCATCCAGGGAGTGGCCAGACCTGCCAAGATAGAGGGACTCTGCCTGGAGAGCCCATGTGTGTCAGATTGCCTATACTGTTAGTGAATTCACATCCAGAGACTAGAAAGGGTGGGGGGAGAGACGCAGCGGATGGCTGCACAGCCTACAAAGGCAGCTGTGAAAAGCACCCACTACCTTAATCGCCTTCTTGCTGCCCTTTATCTTCTCAATCTTAGCCTGAGCCAGTGAGACTCTCTCTCCAATTGCCTGCAGCTGCATCCGGCTGGCCTCCACCCGCTGGGAGATTCTGAGGGGTAAACACATTCCCCTAGGGTAAGAATCCAGGATCCAGAGACTCTTCTGCAAAAGCAAGTACCCCCAAGTGCTCATGCCGAAGGGGGAAGGACATGGCTCTGTCCAGACTGCACTTTGCAGCAGGGTAAGTTTAGTGCTGGTGAAACATGCTCACCTGACAGCTCTAGAGATTTAAGTCCTCCATTTTTCTGCAAACAGGTATAGCCAGGGCAACTGCTCTGCTGACTGACCCAAATGGAAAAAGGCCAGGGGGAAGTAGGAACAACCAGCCTGGTGAATCCTGGGCCTCTGCTGAGACTGCCATCAAGAGGTCCAATTGGTACCAACTGCTGAGTGGTTTTTTATTATTAAAATCCTTTAATAAAAGGGAAGGCAGCATGGCATAGTGGCTAAAGCACTAGACTGGGACTCCAGAGACCTGGGTTCTAGTTCCAGCTCTGGCCTGCTGGGTGACCTTGGGGAAATCACCACCCTGCTCCGTGCCTCAGTTTCCCCATCTATAAAATGGGGATAATGATGCCAACCTCCTTTGGAGTATCAGTACCACTACCTAGCTCTTACAGTGCTTTTCATTAAGCACTTTCAAAAGCATTACAAAGGAGATCAGTATCAAAGTGCTCTGAGATCTATGGATGAAAAGCACCATGTAAGAGCTAGGCACTATTCATTATTAAGCACCAGTGTACTCAGCACTGTACAATACAAAAACAATACAGTTCCTGTCCCAAAGATCTTACAATACGACATGGTCACCTGACCCCTAGGAACAGGACTGAGACCATCACCTTATTCCAGATTGGCAATTCCTATGACTATGTAGAAACTTTATGGTATAAGCCCAGTGGCCAGATTCATTCCCTTTCCACCATCCACTGAGTGGTTCCAGTTAATTTATACGCTGGTGGCTTCTCTGAGTAGTTCAAGTTGCTCTTTTAAGTGTGCATTACAAAGCATTTGTCTTCACTGAATTTCGTTACCTGATTGCCTAACTTTGCTTCGTCCTTCAGAAGCTCTTCACAATCTCTCTAGTCTTTATTATCTTCAACATTTGTATCACCAGCAAATTTTGCTACCTCATTGTTCACCTCTTTCAGATCCTTAATAAGCGTATTGATTAACACTGTTCCTAGTACAGATCCTGGGGCACCTCACTATTAACCTCCTTTGATGCTGAAAATTGACAGTTTATTTCTGCTTTGCTTTCCTCTCTCACCAGCCTAAAATCCATGATGTGACTTTAGCTTTCACCCGAGACTACTTCGTTTCCTTAGCAGCCTCCAGAGAGGGACTTTGTCAAAGGCTTTTTGAAAGTTCAGATATCATGTATTGATTCTCCTTGCGCCAGTATTCTGTTAGCTCCCTCACAGAAGCCTGATGGGCTGAGGCTGTACAAGTTTCTCACAGACGCAGTACTGATTTGTCCGTTTCATGTCCCCCTGTCTGTGTGCAGAACCAACGGCTGCCTGAGCTCATGTTTCAGACCCACAGTAGCAGTCTGTTCTCTTCACATTTGACCATCTCCCCTTCATTCACTCACCTTCCTTCCACTTCTCCTTATCACCCCCTTTCCATCCCATGCCCTCCTCCCTTTCATTGGGTGATGCAGACAGACTGGAGGGAGACTATTTGAGTCCCTTCCCCCACTGCCCGCAGCTGTGAGAAGAGGTGCCCTTGAGTACTGCCATGGCATGGGAAGCAACTGGGGAAAGGGAAGCCCTAGAGCATCCCCCTCCTGCTAGTCAACAGCACTGAAAGCAGTCCAGGAAAAGGGGAGCCTTATGGTTAAGGTGGTGGCCTTGGACTCTGACTCCAGAGACTTGGGTTCAATTCCTGCTCTGCCAAATACTCCCTGATTGGCCTAGGAGGATAAGTCACAGTCTGTGTTCTCTGCTCCCCCCTGGAGAATGGGGATGACAGTGCTTCCCGGCCTAAGAGCTGTTGCAAGGACAAATACACAAGAGACTGTGAGGGGCTCAACTACTACGGTGAGGAGAGCCATATAATAGCAGAGCTAGCTAGAGCCCTGGAGTGCTACCTTCTACCCTCCCAGCTGGCAGCTCCCTGGGATGCCTGCACAAGTGCATGGCTTACACAGAGACACCTGGTCATCAGACAGGAAGGATTTATTGTCTCCAACCTCGGCCGGATTCTAAGAGGCCTGGAGATGACTTTATCCCACTACGAACTTCACTGGACAGCCATATAAAATGCAGCTCCCCACCTTTCCATTGCTTTTAAAACATTTAGATGGTGGGAAGCAGGTTCTTTCCCCAATTATCTGAGTTTTACAGACATTGGTTTTCCACCTGGCCATGTTTTATGGGAGTGGGGATTCCCATAGCTCCGTTTCCTTCCCTGGCCTGCACTCCAGCATCATGAAAGTCACACAGCTCAAAGAAGTGCTTTATGATGGTCAACATGTCAGCATTTATTTTCTGTTGGCACAACAGAAACAGTGGCTATATTTCTCTCCCAAGTAAGCCACGTATGACTAGTACAATGACTATCGCACACAAACAGTGGTCAGGGAGAAGGAAGAGAGAAGGGAGGAAAGCACCTCTCAGCCAAAGCACTTTACAAGCCCTACTTATATAAGAATCACTGAAATGTAGCCACCTCTAGGTGAAATATGTATGGCAGCTGGTGCACAACTTACTATCACAACTATGACAGGAAGTGGAGATAAAAACTGCATGCAAAGGAACTACGGAATTTGTTTTTTAAAAATAATGATCACAAGTTATCAGGGCCTCTGTCTCAAATCCCATCTAAAGACAGCTGTTGAATATCAACTCAGATATAAGAGTACGCTGTACTGAATCACCAATGATATTCCCTGAAGCACCTTGCATTTTCCTTTGTGCTCTCCCATCCCAGGATTTACCAGGCCTAATCCTGCTGAGTTTGGCAGATCTGACAAAAGCTTAGCCTGCAGTGGTATGGCTACAGGCATCTATCACAGAAGCAGGACATACAATCCTCAGGAATTAATCTATTTCTTGCTGAGCAAGGGAAGTATAAAAAAATGATTAAGTCACCTCAATCCGACTAATCCAGTGAATACCCATCACACGTGTAAGGACCTGCACTACACTACAATGTTCTGAGTTTAAAATTCAAATTACACTGATATACATAAGTTTAAAGAAAGCTCAGTGTTCTCCTTAAGAAAAACTGTACTGTTCAGATATCCACTGAAAAACACATAAGAAAGTAAGACTCCCGTTAAAGAGCTCTCTGGAAGCTTCAGCCTTTCTATTGCAGTGATACAAGAGCTCACTTCCCGGAGGCAGCCATAGGCGTGTGAAAAGGCAGGACATCTGATGGGATGGAGAGCTCGTCCATTCATTTCTGAGGGCAAAGCGCTCTACTCCGAGCACTGCTTTTGGTACGTTTTTGCCATGTATTTAAAATGGAGGGGTAAGCGTAAGGTTTTATTTTTTTTTAAAGGTAGCTGGGGGTCGGGAATTGGTCCATTTAAATAAAATACACCGCCTGAACCCTAAACAGCGGACAATGCTATTAATATTTAAACGGATTGTGTTCGTATTAGTCACGGCTGTTTGTTAGCAATCTTGCTCTCAGTACTCCGTTCTGCCTGAGACGCTCCCTTCTTGGTTTCAATGTCACTTTGGAGCTCCAGAGAGGAGCAGGCAGGCAGCAGGGTCTCTCCCCCTCCTCTCATGGAGCCTGCACATGCATGGCAAGGAGGAACAGTGTCTGAGCAAGGCATGTGACCACACCACCCATATTTAAGTACAGATCCTAGTTCAAAACCAGAATAACCATCCCCCACACCCAAAAACAGTTGTCTTGGGGGAGGTACTACAGGTTTCTCTAATGGATTATTTTAAAATCCAGATGAGTTTTAAACCCGTCCTTTCAACTTCACTATATACACACACACCACTCCACGTTCAAAACCCTCCATCTATCTAGCACAGATCTCATCTGTTCCTGCACCCAACTTGCTCCTTTAAGCTCCTCTGTCAGAGGTGAACTCTTTGCTCCTGCTGCACCAGATGATGGGAATACTCCATCCCATCTCACCTATTTTCCCTTTCAAAACCCACCTCTTTGACTCTGCCTACAGCCAGTGAGTCAATGGCTAGTTTCTCCACAGCACCACTTCCTGTTACCTCAGCCACTTGGATCCTTACTGGGATATCCTCAACACTGGGCTTTTAGGATCGTAACTCCTTTTTCATACATCCCACTCCAATGGGGAGAGGATTTGAAGCATCAGGCAGCAGTCTCTGCTACAGGCAGGACATTGGACTCAATGGACCAATAGTCTAATCTAGCACTGGCAAAAATCCTACGTTCCTATGAAAGTGTCTCTGGGAAGGACAATCATAAACCAACAATCCCTGAAGCCAAAGCCTGTGTGATTTATATGGGATTAGAGAGGATCAGAGATGGACCAGATGTGAAGGAAGGTAATCCCAAAAAGCACATCTCAATGCCAACTTTTGAACTAGAAAGATATGAAAGCAGTTCGGAGGACTTTCAAGACACATCCCTCGTAAAGCAGCCTGAGGAAAAACTGTATTAGGCTTTGACTACACTACGCACCTTTTAGCGACACAGCTACGTCATTACAGCCGTGCCGCTAAAAGGCGCGTAGTGTAGCCGCTGTTTGTTGGCAGGAAAGCACTCTCTCGCCGATAAAAACCTTCCACCCCCAATGAGCAGCACTAGCCAAAGCACTGTTCACACTGGTGCTTTTCCTCAACAAAACTTTTGTCTTCTGGCAGGGGGAGGGGAGGATGTTTTTAACACCTCTGAACGACAAAAGTTTTGTCATTCAGTTGCAAGTGTAGACAAATCCTTAGGCTCAACTACATGTGGGATGGGTCACGGCAGAGAAGGGTGATTCACAATCAGTAACTAGGTCCTGGACAGATTCAATGGGTAAGAGGTCACCCAAAGATCGGAAGAGGGATGAGAAATATGGGGAAGTTAGACAAATACAGAGGATTATCAGAAATGCAAAGAGAGGCTGTGAATAGATCTCCCTGGAATACCAAGCAACTCCGATTTTATGTCTGAAGTACAAAGGTAAGTGATCAGCCAAGGAGAAAGAACATTACAGAATGGAATGAGAAATGAGGGCGCACACGAGGATAAAGCAGCTGAAGTGTTAAATGACTTTCCCCTAAAAATGTACTGTATATATAAGGGGCAAGCCAGCCTCTGGCTCCGTCTCAGCTTGAGCTGCAGCCGTGGGCCCTCACACTGAGTGACTCCATGAGCGGGGGCACAGAGCTCCATGGAGGAGAAGGGGATACTAGCAGAGTTATCCAATCGGCTACATGCACTTGTCAGGTTAGCACTACAAGCCCTTGGCTTTTTTAGGAGTTCCAACATTTACCAAAAGTTTTTGTAAGGTAATAAAATGGGAAGGCCCTGCTTAAATTACCCTTCCCAGTGGGAAGGTGGGTTAGAGGCAGAGGTTAGAAGCAGTAAGTAGCTCCTGGTTTGGTGCATCCTGAAGTTTAGAACAACTGCAGGACTCTGGAAGAGGCCCTGAAGGGGTGAAGGGAGAGTGTTAGTCAGAGCAAAGAAAGGAGCACGGCGGGGCTTGGGGGGAGATGTAACTAGAACAAAGTGCTGCTGCCTTGGCCAAAGTAAATGGGAGTCTGTCTCGACACTGTGCTCAAGATACACCAGGGGAGCAAGGATCCCCATTCTGAAGCGACAGTAACTTCCCTCTCACAGAAGAGTCTGGATGGGCAGGAGGAGCTCATTTGGAAAGGTGCGGGGGCCGGTTGGATGCTGCTGGGGGCCCAACAGGTAGGGGAGGGGAGGGTGCTTTGGTCCCGCTGTGGATAAGATGAGCAGCTCCACTGGGAAGGGTTGTGGAGGGCACATGGGGAGCCGATCCTTGCTGCGAACTTTAGAGGGGACATGACGGGGGTGTCACACTGAAGTTTTGCTTAGGGCAGTAGATTGGCTTGAGCGAGCTCTGCACCTAGGGACTGAAGTATGCTTTACCACAGCCTGAATACTTCTGGGTGTTGGGTAGGACACCCTTTTACAGACTGGTAAACAAGCAGGGAGAGATTAAGCACCCATGTCATGCAGTAATCCATGGCAGAGTCATAAATAGATTCTAGGACACCTGACAAGCAATCCCCAACTCTAACCACTAATCACTCTGCCACGCCAGCCAGCATTTCCTCACAACAGTGGAGGAATGAGCAAGAGAAAAAAGCTGCAAAAACACTTACAATTTATGGTTGTTCAGGGAAGCATTCAGAGTCCATTAAAAATACCAATTCCCCTCAAAAGTTTGAAAGGCAGTGAATAAGAGTGTATGTTTTCACCAGAAAGTCAAATAAGTTAAATCACTCAGTTAAAGAAAAAAAATTCAGCTTGTTTGCCTTCTGCTCTTTTTCTCCTTCACATTTAAGCAGCTTTCTAGAGTCTTTTTTCATGTCTGAGTAAGTGTAATCAAAAACTGTCATCTAGCACCATCCTTGACAGAATGAAATCCTAAGTGAGATAACGTAATCAGCATTTCTTCCTCCAGTAAGGGGTTGGTTATTACCCTAATTAATGTTTATCACACTTTGATTACTCCTTGAGCCTGATTTGCAGGTGTCTAAGTGTTAGCATATAGTCCCATTTCTCTAGAGGCCAAACTTCCTTTCAGAGCTCATACAGCTCAGAACTGTCAGGTTACATGCAGCAGGATCTTGTGTGCATTACATTCCACAGGGTATGTTTTCACACTCAAAAATCATTTCTTTTTGTCTTTGAATCTTTCATTGAGAGTGTTCCCACCACAGTGAATTAAGACTAAATGAGACTCCAGACTACCACAATTTTGTCCTATCCTTAGCCCACCACTAAGGATCTTCCCCTCCGAAGGCTCAACCCCCACAAATGAGGAGCTATAAATTTATGGTTGCAATCAGGGTTCCAGTGGTATTTCCCAAGACATCCTGGGGAGAAATTCCTCTCCCATCTCAAATTTGACAGCTTGATTAATCCTGTGCACACATGAGTCAGAATCCTTTGTTAAGCACCTTAAGCCTAGTCTACATCAGGCTTAACATTTCTCATCAGTGGCACCCATGGTGTTAAGCACTAGCGTTTTCATAACTAGCATACGCACAGGGAGTTGCATCCCACGCTAACAACGGAGGGAAGTCTAGTGTAGACACACTCTAGAGGAAGGGCTATTTCATGGCTGGAGTCCAAGGAGTCCAGGACTCATGGGGTTTACCTACAGCTCTGCTATAGACATTCTACATGACTTTAGGCTTGTGGGTCTTTGCTGTAGTTTCCCCCATGTAAAAAAGGATAATATTTACCTCACATGTGCGTTAGACTTCATTCATTAACACATTTAGATCTTCCAATTGAAAGATACCAGACTTGATGGGCCAGTTGTTCAATACAGTATGGTGCAAATCTTATGATCCCATGACAGGTTATTATTTCTTTTGAGTAGCACCTAGGGGCCCCATTGTGCTAGATGCTGTATTAACAGCAAACTTTTCCACACAAGTACAAAAACAAAAAAAATAACCAGATATAAATAGTGTTCAAAGCACTAGCCACTCCGCTCCCCCACCTCCAAATTCTAGTACGTGGAATCTTCTTCTCCCTGTGACAGAAGACCACATGCTGATCACCCTCCGAGGAAAAAGGCCTCTCTGTATATTTAATCTAATAATGGTTTGAATTTCATTGCTTTTCATCCCAGGAGCTCAAAGCAATTCCCAAATGTTAAATAATCCTCAATACCTACGACACAAAGGGGCAGAGTTACGTGTCCCCAGCCAAAAAGCCTTCTGCGACAGTCAGCAATAGACCCCCAGGAATCCTGATTTCCAGGCTCTTGTTCTCGCCACTATTTAACTTGCGCTTTCTTTTTTAAGTTCCCATGGGTGGCCACGTGTTTTCCAGCTGCAGCTTACTTGTAATGGTTGACTAAATGTGAAAAAAAAACCCACTTTTTTTTTTTAAAGTAATTCTGCACTGCAGTGCAACTATTCCTACAACTACTTCTTTTCTCGACTAAATAATAGTAAATAAATAGAGACACAAAGTGGGTGCGGTAATATCCAGTATCCTGGGAGGGACATGGCTACAACAACAGTGCATAGAGTAAATAAATAGCAAGATTTTGCATAGGCTTAAGCTTATTTACCCCCCACACCCCACTCCACCCCCGTTCTCTGGACCAAAGGTGTAACCCCATTCACGTGTCCTCAAAGTGGGGTCTCACCAATGAACTCCTTTGCTTTATTTAGGGTATTCTCCCACCCTTCGATGGAGTGTGTGATCGAACAGCATTCTCTTTGCATGTTACTGATAAGCTGAAGCCCTCAACACTTTGCCTGTCAGTATATCTATCAGAAGGTGGTCCTGGTATGAACACTAACTCGTGTATATCTACGTGTATAATTTAAATGCCAGCCTTCATAAAAACACTGATCCATCCATGTATAACTAAAGTCAGGAGGAAACAAGCCCAAGTCAGAGAAAGGGCCTGCCATGGCAAAGCAGCCTGTCCCACAAGCACGGAGCTTGTAGGCAAAGTAACCTGCAAGTAAGGGCTTGTCTACACTGGCACTTTATAGCGCTGCAACTTTCTCGCTCAGGGGTGTGAAAAAAAAACACCCTCCTGAGCGCAGCAAGTTTCAGCGCCCCTCATGGGGGTGATTTTTTTAGAGCGCTGAGAGACCTCTTGAACGTTGCCAGTGTGGACTCGCCCTAAGAAAAACACTAGCAGACAGTTTTGCCGGAGCAGCATGGGCTTTCTTCTCCCACTTGTTTCTGTCCCCTTTCAACTTGCACCTTCTAATGAGGGCCAGTCATTTTGTCCTTCCCCCACTCCATTTTGGATGCCAGCAGGTTTGGTAAGTGGGCCACCTGGGCTTTTAAGAGTTGCCCATCATCGTGGTATCTACGTCCTTGTTCTTCCTGGTGACACGTTCACCTGTTTCTACATATTTGCTGTAGTAATTAACCCCTCTTACAATTCATTGTATCAATCTAAATCTGTCTCTACTTCTCCCTGCCCTATCATTCAAAGTTTTTCTGCCAACATTTTTCTAGCTGTTTTTGTTCTGGTGCCAGAGATCTTCATCACTATCTTGTGATCACTACTGCCAATTAGTTCTTAAATGTCAAGATCCCTCAGCATTTTTTCCAGGATTAAAGAAAAGGAGGACTTGTGGCACCTTAGAGACTAACCAATTTATTTGAGCATAAGCTTTCATGAGCTACAGCTCACTTCATCGGATGCATTCAGTGGAAAATACAGTGGGGAGATTTATATACATAGAGAACATGAAACAATGGGTGTTACCATACACACTGTAACGAGAGGATTAGTAAGTCCAGCAGCACCAGAAAATATCCTCTCCCAGTAACTCAAAGCCCCTGCTTGACAGGTTACCAGTTTGTTCCTGCTGCCAGTTTATCACTGGCTCAAAAAAAAAAAACAACCCTTGACTGACACCTTCCTTTTCTCATCTGTGCTTCTAATTTCAGCTCCCAGTTCTATCTCAAAAGGTTCACTCTAGTACCAAAGGCTTGGTAACAAGCCTACTTGCACACAAGTATTTCTCCAGCTTTTCCATATTGCAGATGAACATTCCTTCAGATAGACTCATCTTCTACCCTCCAGCTGTGACCCCAACACCTCCCCAGAGGAAACCACAGTGCTTGCTTACACACTCGGGGGTTTATGTTTAGTTGCCCATGAAAAACCTTTGACACCCTGTGGAGAACATGGGAAATGTCTGCATTATTTTTATGAAAAAAATGTGTGACTGTTTCCCCCATTCACTTTTGTACTGTTACCAAGTGGGAATGAAGGGGTTCATTTCTTTCATGGACTAGTGGAATAAGAGATGGGTATTTGTCACATAATTTTCATACCAACTCAGACATGCCCTAGCAAAAACTGTCAACATGTGAATGGAGCTACCTTGCAAAGGCAATGGATGACCGCTGACTGGACATTAACTTCTAGTACCAGCCAAGGGAGACAAAACGTGTGAACACCAGGGATGCGGGCTGCCCCATGCAGTGAGGAGATAAGAGCCAGGACCAGTTGGGGAGGCAGGCAGCCTTCTGCAAGCAGGGAGTCTACCTCTCAGACCAAGGCAAAGAAGGGCCCACCTAACTAAAAAAAGCAGAGGCTAGCAAGCTAGGAGAGAGCCATGCATGTACATTTTACTCTACCATTCTAACCCTGTGACCCTAAAATAGTATGTTCCAGGTGATTAATATATACTGTCTTGTTTTGAAATGGCTGCCCTATGTCACTGCAAACATCTGTTTGTTGTACAGCTTCCAAAAAGGCTAAGACCCGAACAGGGATTCATGGTCTTTGGGACCAGTGGAAGGAGCCACCATGAGAAACACAGATACTGAAGCCAGCAACCCAGTCTCAGGGGAGTGGGGACATCGGGCTCACCACTGAAAAAAGTAGAGGCCTAGGGTTTACATTAAGATGACGATACTCCATCAGAGAGACTGGATAAATATCAGAGGCATAGCACGCTCTGTAGAACAACACCACATCCCTAGAATGAATCTCAGACTGGGTTCCCCTGAGCAGAATGGTCACCGCTTCAACAGACAGATGCACCATCATTCTGATTCAAGCAGCTCATGGCCCTCCAGTGACCCCGTTTGAGAACAGCTATAGACAGGCAATCTTCTTTCCCTCTGTACCTTTTGAATAAATCTGCCCCAAGTAATGACTTCCTTAAAATGGAAGTGTATTGTAGACAAATCATTAATAATGGTATTATGGGATTCCATCTTTCTTGCATCTCCTTGATACCTGCTCAAATTTGCTCAGTGCACAGATGTTTTTTTAAGTGCCATCCCCACAAATGCAACCTGGGCTCTGACAGACAAGCTGGCTTCTCTCCTTGTGGCACGTCACCATCAATAACAAAGGTTCTGCTGGACAAACCATGTCCAGTGTAGCAGCCATCCAACCCCACAGGCAGATAATGCAGTAGGCACAAGTATAACCGAGGGCATTATTTGGCCTTCAAAATCTTTTTCTGACCATACCTCAGAAAGAAAGAACACAGCTTGATTCTCAAAGCTCAGAATGAGTTTTTGCAAGACTAGAAAAACCATCTCAAAAATCAGCACCCTGATATGGAACCAGCAAGAAACACTCTGAACAATACCATATTCAGAAAGCCACGCTTTAGAGCAAAAAAAAAGCTTTGAAAAAAATTCACTCCTTAGATCCATGGAGCAAACACAGGACCTTGTGCTTTCCACAGAACTGTGTGTGGTGCTGAGATACTAAGGTGGTAGGTGCCTCTAATATCTTAGATAATCAGAAAGACATTCCACTGCTCTGCAACCTCACCACAGCAGTAACACTGACAGAATGCCAGCCATACAGCATCGCACCCTCTTTCCTAAAGCCCTATCCTGCTGATGTGGAGTGCTCATGTGCTTCTCATCTGAATCAAGGGGCTCCTCTTAAACAGCTATTGAATGCCGCTCCAAAACCACAGTATTAGTAGTAAAAACTTCAAGCCCCATTTGTTTAAAAGGTGCTTTAATTAGGATGACAAGATCCTTGTTTTTGGATAAATTAAGAAAGGCAGCTGCCGTAGAAGATACAAGCTCCTGAATTAGTCACCTATTTAGAGAGCAGGGGGTGGAGTACACTTACAAAACCCTTATACCTAAATAATCCCCCAACCCCCAAAAATGTTTCCATGCTCTCCCCCATCCCCCTCCACACACCTCCAAGGCCACAGGATGGCACATTCCCTCCATGAAACAGACCCTTCTTTTTCTCTCAATACACAGGGTTTCTTCCTCAACAAATGAGGTTTCTCCTTCCTTGCTCTATAAATGGAGTTTTCCTCATTTCATGAGTGTTTGCTAGCTCCAGAAATAGATTTTTTGCTGACATATAGATTGCATTTACACTCAGATCTCAATCCTATAGAATTTCAGACAAAGTCAATTGACAGCACCACATTTAGTCAAAGAAAAAGGACCATAACGAGAGAATGTAATGTGCCAGCCAAGTGTGAAGAGCAGGCCTTTTGCACTCTTCCTTCCCCTTCCCCCCAATTATATTGGTGGGAGTCTGAAATCCACATTTCAAGCCACTCAATGTTATTTTCCAGACTGTTTCCTCCATACTAAATCCCTGATGGATGTCATGCCTATAAAATGAAGTGACTTCTCTGTGTCTCCTCCTTCAGGGCTGACTGAGTAGAAGAAACTCATCCATAGGAAGAGAAAGGACTCAAGCCTGTGTGTGTGAGTTCAGTGATGGAAACTGGTTGAGAAGGTAAAGCTATCACATTGCATAGGAAAACAGTGACATCAGGATGACGGAGGGAGTTGGGGCCAGTTCAGACAGTGCTGCCAAACCTGCAGGCTAAGTCATTTATTTTGGGGGATGGTGGGAAGGGGTGTCCCATGGCACCAGAGACAAGTTGAAATGACAGAGAGATTTTTTCCCCCTCTGCTCATGCTCCAGTGTCACGTGATGTGGAGTAGAAGCTGCTTCCTGGTGACAGATTTGTGGGGTGATAACTGAAATCACCTAGGGGAAAAACTGGATGTTTCCCCTAACTGGGAAAACAGGAAATCTCCATCCACTACTCCCTTAGGACTCTCCAGAGCAATCCCCTCTTTCTGGAATACTCTTGATTGGCTCACCTTCCACACTGTGGGCCTAGAGCTCCTCCACCACACAGCTGTTAGGAGCAGTCTGCAGCAGGTAGCGGCTGAAGGAAGGGAAGATTCCACATGACGTTGGTTGAGAACACGGTTTGCAGAAGGCCACAAGCTTTGCTTGAGCTGCTCATTGTGAAAGTTATGAAGAGAGTGGAGATTGGGAGCGATGTCAGGGTAAGAGGGCACATACATGGAGGGAGGCAGAGTACGGTTATAGGGAGAGTAAGCCGAAGTTCATGCCTCCACTGTTCCTGTCCGAGGCTGCAATCATACCATGTGACATTTCAGGTACAGTCACATTGGGCCTGCTCTACACTTAAAAGTTAGCTTGACATAGCTAGCGCTCAGGGGTATGAATTTTTCATATCTCCTGAGCACCATAGAGGATTATCCTAGAGTCTCCAGGAAAATAAAGATTAATCTTTAATTAAAGATGGCCCTGTGACGAAACCTCCAGGAATATGTCCAACCCAAACTGGCAACCCTAGCATCGCCGCTATGTTGACCTAACCCCAGTTGAGATGTGGCCAGGTTGACCCAAGAATGCTGCCATAACCTAGCTACCGCCCCTCAGAGAGGTGGATGACCTACAGCAACGGAAAAACCCCTTCCACCGCTACAGGAGGCATCTACACTCCAGTACCACGGCAGCGCCAAAGCGGTGCTGCTGTAGTGCCCACAGCATAGCCATGGACCTCCTCACAGCATGGGCAGTAAGACAGTGGCTACATCTTGTGCTCCAGAAACTGAGGGCGTGTCTATACTACAAACTTAACTCAGCCTCTGTTATAGCCACCACAGTAATTACTGCAGTGGTTCATGTCCACACTGCCCTCCTTCTGTCAGTGGTGAGCATCCTAACCAGGAGCATTTCCACCAACTTAAGAGGGGCAGTGGGGGGGGGGCTGCCTGCCAGGGCTCAGGCAGCAGCTTGGCTAGGAAAGAGGAACCTGGGGAGCAGCCAGGCTCTAGCTGGAGCTCCCGGGGCAACTGGGCTCTAGCTGGAGCCCCCCCCCCCCAACCCCACCCTGGAGTGACAGCCCAAGTTGTGAGAGCCTTTCTTGTCAATTTCACAGCTCTAGCATGGAGGAGCACAGGAGAGCTGTCACCGGTCCAGATCGGAAAGGCTCATCCTTATTTAGGTTTTAGACCTGGGTGCAGTCCAGACTACTCACTTTGATGCCACTGACCTACTCCTATAGATGCTTCTGCTGGAGTCACCTGTGAATAATTCTGTTTCTTCCTCAGACATTCAAAGGGTCCCTTCATCTTCTCTTCAAGTCTGCTTTTGGGTATGCAGAAAATGCCACTTCTTCCTCCCATACCAGAAGACTGCAAACTTAGAATGTTGTCACATTTATCCACGCTTCTATCACGTCAATCCTGCATTGCTGGAACACACCATTGCGACAGCCCTGGATGAGCCTTCAGAAACATCAGCAAGTGCAGCTTCTGAGTGGAATGGATCACTTGGAGAACATATCACTCGTGCTGCACGATACCTGCTCACTGCCTATCCAGTTCCCATCACAGTTTGAGAAGTCAGAGAATCCTAAAATCCTACATTGTTCTGAAACCCAGTTATTTAAAGGATCACTTTGTTCTAGCAGCAGATTGAAGGTCCACTTGGGTATCTCTGCTGTCAGTGCCTGAAAATCATTTGTGGTGGGTGTGATAAATAAAGGGGGGCGGGGGAGGTAGCTCCCTTTGATGGACACCCAGCCAGCCAGTTAGCTGTAAAATCCCTCTTGGTAGCTGTTCTTTACTAACTTTACCTGTAAAGGGATAAAAAGTCCCCCAGGTAAAGAAAAAAAAGTGGGCACCTGACCAAAAGAGCCAATGGGAAGGCTAGAACCTTTTAAAATGGGAAAAGAAACTTTCCCTTTGTTTGTGGTTGCTCTCTCTGGGCTGCAGGAACACAGCGCAGCAATGCTGTGTACGGTTTGAACCAGGTATAAAAAATTATTTTCCATACCTAGCAGGACTCATTGGGATAGCAAATGTTTAGATAGATGCGATCAGGTTTATTTCTTTATTTTGGCTTGTGGATCTCCTCTGTGCTAACCCCAGATGTTTTTGTTTGCTTGTAACCTTTAAGCTGAACCCCCAACAAACTACTTTGGGTGCTTAACTTTTGGAATTGCTCCTTTAAAATCTAGCAAAACCCTAAGTTCCAAACGTATTTTCTTTCTTTTTGTTTTTAATAAAATTTAGCTTTTTAAGAACAGGATTGGATTTTTGATGTCCTCAGAGGTTTGTGCATATGCTGTTTGATTAGCTGGGGGCAACAGCTAATTTCCTTTGTTTTCTTTCTCAGCTCTTCCCCGGATGGGTGTGTTTGTGAGAGAGAGAGAGAGAGAGAGAGAAAGGGCTTGAGGGTTCCCCACAGGGAGGAATTCCCAAGTGCTCCTTCCTGGGTCCAAGGTTTTTTTTTTGCATTTGGGTGGTGGCAGCGTTTACCAAGCCAATGTTAGAGAAAAAGTGTAACTGGGAGTTTAAGACAAGCCTAGAGTGGAAAGTATTAATTTTTAGAATCCTTGCAGGCCCCCACTTTCTGCAATCGGAGTGACGGAGTGGGGATTCAGCCTTGACAGTGGGCAACACAGAGGTCCTGGCTTAGGATACCTTCCTCCCACCCTCCACTGCCCTCCTGCCTTCCAGACTTCTTCTTGCTGCTGTCACAGCCCCAACTCAGAGAGCTTCAGATCACACTCCAAAGTTTTTGCAGCCAGTCTTCTGACTGAACATCATTTTAGTTTGTGCTTTTGGACATTGTATGATACATTAATATTTGATGAAAGGCAGGACATTCCTATCTTTTTGGCTAGTGTGTACTGCTTCTATGTACTTCTGTTCTAGGCACCATAAGGATTAAAACATGCTAAGCAGTCAGCCAGTGGCCAGTTGGATTCATTTCTTTAATCCCTTTCAATTTAGTCACTCAACTTGACCACTCACTAAACTCTCCTTTGGTGAAATAGGAATTATCAGCCAAGAGTATTTTTACATATGCCTCTTTTAACATATGCCTCTTTCTTCCCTCCTAATAGAAACCTAGTTATGAATCTGGAACAAACATTCATTCCATCTATAGAATCACCTATTTTGGCTCAAGTTCCTTGGCCAACAGGCAAAGACAGCTACTGCACATGTGGCATCCGTAGCATTAAATCTCAGCTGTTAAAAATGTTTAGAAAGGTTTTGGTAAGCCAGAGTGGGTGAGACGTGGCAGAAGTTAATTTTAGCCTAGACATGTAAAATAGTTATTGAAAGAAAGCGAAGAAGTCAGTCAAAGAAACAGTGTGAACTGAATTTGATTGGACTACATGAATTTTTGATTAGCAGTTTTCCAGAGGGTTGCTACAGCATCTTTAGCATGAGAGGAAGTGTTCATATATCGACTACCAGAAACTTAAAATTAAATGTGGAAAGGTTGCCACTGACTCCTGTGGACATCTCTTTTCTGGGGAGCACTTGGCAACTTGATTCAAAAAGTGGGCATCACCATGGTTACTGCTCCCATACACTGGGACATAAGAGATATACTATCGTACTGTTGGGCCTCTCTTTTCTCCACAAGCCTGAAATATCATGACCAGATGAGATGAGAACAGGGAATCAATCACCACTTCCATAGCCATGTCCTGTGTAACTCCTGAAATGCTAACCTATGGTTACTACTATTCTTTTTCTAGTGTGTCATTTTCTACTGCCATCTTTATTCCTCCAGCCTTCGGTTTAATGAGTCTGACACATCCAGCCTTATAACACTTTTCTGTGAGCAATCTGCACCAATTTGAAATGGTTCCCGAGAAGGGTGAACTCTGACTTCCACAGACCCACCAGAAGAAGAACCAGAGAATGTGTTCCAGAGGAAAGGGAGTAAAGCCAGGGTCCAAGAGTGACTAATTGGGTCACACTATGCAATTAAGTTGCTGGAAGACCACAAGCAACTAGAGACAGAAGCGCATCTTCCTATCCTTTTTCTATTCTTTTCTTTCACCCTTACACACCTTTGCAGGAGTTTGTCTTGTCTTAAGAGTCAGGATCAGACTTCAACAACAGAACTGGAGAGCTGCCACCTAAAATTGACATTCCCCCCCACATCAAGAGATCTGATGCAATTTGAGAGACTTTCAAGCAAGGGTTTTAAAAAAATAAAAAGATATTCCAAGGTTGTACAGTGCCCTTCTGTACAGTGCTTTTTGTAAAATATATACGTTCTGTTTTGATCAGTCTTCCTTGTTCATAGAATCATAGAATATAATGTTCTCAGTGCAAATTTCAAAACATGGATGAAAGCATACAGAAATTTTTTTCTGAGCATTCCACCAAGTATCACTGGGAAGCAGAGGAATTCTTTTTAAAATAAACCGACCCTGAGACCGATGGTGGTTGTGGAAGGTTCTTTTCCCCCTTTACCTTCTGCACTGTGCTTTAGGCCAGCTTCTTAAACACTAAAAGAGAGAACTGATACATCAGCAGTTTAACCTGATTGCACCTGAAGCTCATTTACTTTCGTGATTGAGCATATGGCTAAAACCTTGTCATGTTTCCCTTTGCACTCTTGGATGGAATCTTCAGCAGCCTGCACGCAAGGTTCTCTCTCCTCTGATGTAATATCCAGCACTCAGCAGGAACACTTTCCCACCCATTATAAGGATGCTTTTGTAGATACTATGAAATAATTTCTCAGGTTTTCCCCAAACATCTTGTATTAATACTGGTGCTTTTAGCTAGTCTTTAAACTGTACCTTTCTTCACTTGTGGCATCTAGTAAGAGACCTGTGAGTTTCAATCTGTTTGTGTGAGTGCTTCCATCATTTCTTTTAATGGCACATTTTGTGCTATACTGCAGGCCTTGTTAGCATAAAAGCAAGCTACAGCTTTCTAATCAAGTTCAAGTCTTTGCCTGTAAGTCACTTATGGCATAACTGATTGAACTTTGCCCCATTCTGGGGGGATGGGGTCCCAGGACAGACTGCTCCTGAATGTTAAAGAGTTGCTAGAGACCTGGAACGAGGACGAAAGTAATCATGGCTACATTTCAATGACAATGGCACCAAAAGTATCTCAACTGCAGGATTAAATTTAATATTCTGCTCTTCTACTTCAAGAGAGATATTTAATCTTGAAGAACTCAAAGAAACAGATACTCTGCCCTTTTGGAGGTGAGCAAGAGTTCTGCATTGCTAATTATTGACAATATTTACATTTTTATTTCAAAGGAATTACCTGTTCTCATTACTCAATTCCATTCACTCTCTTGTCTCCTACCATTTCCTTCAATTTTAAGCTATTACAGCTCTAGCTGAGCTCCCTCTGTGGACAGTCACCAGGCTGCTGAATTGGACCTAGCTTTGGATTCCATTTATTTTGAAGCCTGTTGGTACAGAGCAGCATCCAGACACTGTCTCTTAGTCTGGCCTCTCTGGCACACAGACACGCTGTTTGGCATCCCCTTCCTGGGTATGTGGGACTCTGCAGTCCAGCCGCTCTAGGCCCCAAGACCAGTGCTGATTCTCCCAAGTCTCCCAAATAGCTGAAGCATGCCCTCCCCAGAGCTCCGCCCTCCCGGGTACTTTGATTTACAATGTAACTCTTAGGATGTATGTAAGCTACCGCAGTACAGCTATGGCATTGCAGCTGTGCAACTGTAGCACCATAGCTTAGAAGGTTCCTCAGCGATGGCAGGAGTTTTTCTGTTGATGCAGTAAATCCACCACTCCGAGAGATGTTAGCCAGGTTGATGGAAAATTCTTCCATCAACCTAGATGCATCTACACCAGGTCAACATAACTACATCAGCTCAGGGTGCAAAATTTTTCACAGGCCTGAAAAACGTAGCTAGGTAGACCAGGCCCCAGGATCTTGTGACAGCTGAAACAAGAGAACACACAGATTTTGTAAAGAAACTTCTAAACCAGATACACTTTACTGACAGACAAAGCACAAGATTTACAGATCCAGGCAAAAACAAGTGCTCCAGGCAAAACCCTCTCTCAGGCATCCTAGCTACTTTTGGGTTTTGATTAATGTCTTTTTGGGGTCCCAGGACCCTCCTGCTCCTCAGTTCTCCTGCTCAGACTTCCTGTTCCTGGCAGTGGATGGCTGTTGAGAAAGCCCCCTAGCTGAAGAAGATCAAGCCTTTAAACAGAATTCTCCTGGGGTGGATCCGTTTGCAGGGAAAATGATTGAAGTTGACTACTCTTGGTGGCTTTCCCATTGTTAGTCCCTCTGCTAGGTGTAAGGATTTCTCCTAATACCACCTGGGTGTCCCAGCTCAAGATGGAGGGTACAGTGCAAAAGCGAAAGGCATAGTACAGTATGAAGTCAAAATGGCATTCACAAAACAATGAGTTTACAGATTGATATAAACATATCTGTCCCATAAAGTCAAAAAGATTCAGTGGCAAAAAAAATGTCATTAACACAGAGTTAAGGTTGCTAGGTGATAGGTACATCACCCCTCGCAGAATGATGAGTTGAGCAAAACTCAAACTTTTGAAAGCCAGAAAAATGCAGTTAAGGTTGCCTATGAAATCTTAACTCTGCCCTCTTTCAGCAATGCCCCAATACAGCCCTGTTAATACACACACACCTTTACTCTGCCAACCCCACATTTGCTGAAAAGTACAAGCTCTTGCTCCTGGGGGAATTCTGCACCAAAAAATTTAAAATTCTGTGCACAATATTTTAAAATTATGCATATTTTATTTGTCAAAACAACACAATATAATCACACCAGTTTCAATTATTTTGGTCATTTATTTCAAAATATACCTGTTATCAAGTATGTCTGTAACAATACAGACAACAAAAAAGATTCTGGAAATTTTTTTTTGTCAAATAGATTCCTTACTACGCATATTAATACAGAACTTGGTGTTCATTTAAAACTACAATATAGAAACATACTTCCCACACCCCTCAAAAGCAGTGCAAAGACTCAGGGGAGTCAGGGGTAACGGAGGAGCTGAAGGAGCCTGGTGTGAACTTGGAGAATTGTTGGGTGTGGGAGGGAGAAGTATGAAACAGGTGGGTTTTTTTTTGGGGGGGGGTTGTTAGGGACTTGGGGAGCCTTCCCCATGCAGACCATGGCTGACCCTAGGCTCTCCCCATTCAGTCAGGCACATCTGTCCCTGTCCCCAAGTATCCCTGCACATCCCTCCCCCCATCCCCATGTGTCCCTGCACCCACACTGAACCAGCCCCATCCCCGATGTGTCCCTATAC